CCGGTACGGGTGTACCCCGGCTTTGTTACATGAAATTGCTGCTAAATAGCTCTCTGCTGTGGCCACTGCTGTTTAGAGGCACTTTCAGTTAGTACGAAGTGTGTTTTAAAGATGCTCGTTTTCATTTGCTCGCCGCTGCCTGTCTCCTGGGATCTGTCCCCTCCTGAAGGCATGGCAGTCCAGCCCATCCCCCGCATAAGCCTCCGAGGGGACCAGCTACAAGGATCACTTTGTATTAGTTTCTCAAAGTCAGCCTGAGTCTGTGCGCCTGCCAATAATACTAGGGAACGCTTTCTAGCCCTTGATCCCACGGCGTTTCAGAAACGTGAGCGCACCGAGATCAGTGCCCTTCCCCTCCGCCCAGAGCTGGAACTGGAACGCCAGGTCTGCAGAGTCTCTCTCCCCCAGGTCGCATTTAATGGCGGTCAGAAATGGAGGCTAACGGTGCAGTAGTCAGTGACCGGGGGGTGGGGGCGTTGCTTTGCCAGAGTGCAGAGAAGTGAGCAGCTGCATACCAGCCGGGCGAAGGTTTGCTGGCCTCTCTGGATTAGTGAGTCCCTTAGTCGGGGTGCAGCTAAAAGGGGGTTGGGACAAAGTGGAGCAGCTCCACCCCCTGTTCAGGAGTGGCTGGCGCCCTGGGTGGCCCTTGGCCTAAAGGCCTCGTGTCTGAGCAGCCAGAGTCTATCAATGCTAGGCCTGAAACTCCTGGAGCTCCTAGGGGAGCCAAACCCGTGCTGGTTCTCTCCCACGGCGCTTGCTCCTTGGTGTAGCCAGGGTTAGGCCATATCTCTACTGCGCCCAGCGAGTGAATCCAGCCAGGGCCAGCTACGGCTCAGGGAGCAGCCCACGCGGTGCTGCCCCCGTCAGAGAACTGCAGACGGGGTGGCCTCAGCCTGGTTCTCCACTCCCTGCCCTCGCTCCCCGGCAGCAGAAAGATTTTGAAAACCTCTGCTCCTACATTAGCTGAGATCCCAATCTCCGAGTCCCCCCCTCTCCTGCCCACAAAACTCCCTTATCTTCCCCTTAGTGCCCCTTCAGGCCGGGTTTGCCATGTAACGCCTGGATTGGCTGGCTCCAGCCTCCTGCACCAGGACATGTCAGCCAGGAAGTCCCTGGGCTAGCGGCCACCTCAAAGGCGAGTTTCGCATTCTTTCCATGCTGCATTTGTTTCATGCCTGCACTGAGCCTTGTCAGAGGGCTGGGGCCTCGTGACTGTGGAGGTGTGTCTGCCCCTGGCCCCGAGGTGGGGGGGCAGGGCAGTGACTTGTGTTTGAATGTTTGCTCCGATGCAGGCCCCGCTAGACGCCCGGCTTGTGGGTCCCTGGCCGCTGCAGCCTCTCTCAAACCCGCTCCCGCCAGGCCGGCCTGTCACGTGTGCGTGGGTGAAAGGTGTCACCCGTCAGCCCTTTCCAGTGTTACCCAACTTGGGATTTCTCGCCTTGCTTCAGCTCCCAAGCTCAGCAGCCGCCGAGGAATGCGCCTTTTGGAACAGGACGTCATCGCCGGCTCTGACACAAGGGGTGCGTGGCCTCCGGCTCGCTCTGATTGGCTCGGTGCTGCTGGGATGTGAGCGAAGGGTCAGCTCTCTGCCCGCTGAGCCTGACGCTGCTGCCAGCTCGAGGCGCCGGGGCTTATGCCCTGCACCCTTGTGTGGCCAGCTGCTGCCTCTCGCCCAGGCTGGGGCCCCTGCAGTTCACCTGCATGCACAGCATTGAGTGGGCAGAGACCGGGCGCAGGCCCCTTCCCTGTTGGCAGCCAGGGCTGGCAACTCTCTCTGGGAAGCACAGACTCCATGCGGCATCAAACAGCTGTCCTCGGCCCTAAGGGAGTGGGGGGGGGTCTCACCTGCTCAGCAGGCGGGTTAATGAGTTGCCCCCCCATCACTCTGAATGGAAGGGGGGGGCGTGGGAAGGGGAAGCCTGGGACGCAGGGGGGGAACAGCAGTCAGGGGCCCCCAGGGAGTCCCTGCAAGGAGCGGTGGCCATGGAGGTGCTGGGCAGTGCTTTGCAATGGCTCCTAGGCTGCTTCCCCAGCAGAAAGGGGGCGGGGGGGCATCTTCTCCAACACCGGGGGCCGGATCTCGTCTCTGCTCGGGGGCTGGAGATAGTCCGGCTGTCTCAGCCCAGCTCGGGGATAAGGGAAGAGTCATAGGGACACATCAGCTGAGGAGGGGACAGTGCAAACCAAGCCGCAGGCTTTGCCCCAGAGAGTTTAGGGTCTGAGAAATGGGGTCGTGGGAGGACCTGGACAGAAGGGTGACCGCCTGCACCTTCCCCTGCTAGCACTGCCATCCCCCAGCCATGGAACTGGGGGTTGGTGCTGCCTGGAGGGGAGACCGCGAGAGGGGCATTAGGAGGTGCCGAGGGAGGACATGGGGGTCATGCCTCACTGCTCCCGATGCCGAATGCTGCAGTTCAGTATGCAGCCCTGGCCCCGTGCCCGCCCAGAGCAGGACAGACCAGCAGTCAAACGCGCAGGGGTGCGCAGAGAGCCCCAGGCCTGCGCTGAACACACTTGCCGCTGCCAGAGAGATCTGTGTCTCCCCTGGCAGCGCGTGGCCCCGGTGGACACAAGGGCAAGGGACTGCTCCCTCCCTGTCTGAACCCGCAGGTGCTGGGATGGTACCTGGAAACCCCGGTTGCCCAGCCCCGGTCACCGAGCAGCGCATGGCCTTGGGGCTCCTGACGAGTACCGCCCCATCACCACGCAGGGGAGCAGGGGGCCGGGCTCAGCCACTCAGCGAGGCTCCAGGCCGGCTTGCTTCCCAGCCGTCGGTAACATCGGGGCCGGTCCCAGCAAGCTGCAGTTGCCATGCCGGGATTTTCCCTCAATCCAGCGCAGCCCAGCGAGCTGCAATGCGGCGTGGGGGTTTTCCCTCAATCCAGGGCCAAGCGGGCGGGAGCATGTGACAGCCGCGGTGAACGAGTGACTCCAGCGCATGGTAGCAAGGAGCCAGCTGTCAGCAGCGCCTGGTAAGGCCGGTTTGCAGGGAACCCGTGATCCTCCAGTCGAAAGTTCAGAGCCTGCTTTGCGGGTTGACGTTTCACCAGTTGTGGCTGGGCTGCATGTTAACCCTTCCCCGGCTGCTCTGGGGTGGGGGGGGCCACCCCATCTCTCCGGCATCTCCTGGTGCTGCACAAGAGCCCCCTAGATCAGCCATACCACGTGTGTCCAACGCTGCCTGTGCCACGTGGTCAGGCCTCAATGCATTATCTTTGGGGAGGGGGCTTCACTGAAGAGATGGGGCCTGTTCCAGCCATGGCTTAAGGGCTCCTGTGAGGCGTGTGGCAGCGCCCCGCCCCCTGCCTTGTCTCTCACGTGGCCGGCCGCCCGCAGTGGGGCACGTCGACCTCCCCAGGCGCTTTCAACGGCCTCCGTCGTGGGGCAGCCTGGCTTCCTGACCGTACATGCCCGACTGCAGCAATGCGAGGGTCAGGTTCGCAGCAGCCTGGGGCCGCCAGTCCTGTAAGGGTTTTGACCCTTCCTGCACGTTGGGCCTTTGTCCCACCCTGGGCCTTGGCAGCTGCTGAGCTTCTGCCACTGACTTGCCAGGTGACCTTGGACAAGTCACTGCTCTGTGCCTCAGTTTCCCTATCTGTGCAGCGCTTTGAACGTCCCGGATGAGGCCTGTACAGCGGCATTAGCTGACTGGCTCCCTTTGCCAACTCTGACGCCTGCCGGGCGGCTGACAGTGTTGCCCCAGGGATGGGTTACAGCTGGGCAGGAACCAGCAGTCCTGACACAAAGGGGCGGGCAAAGGAGCTATTGCTGGCTTTGTAATGCCAAGTGGGTTCCCCTCGGGCAGGTCTCTTCCTGGAGAGCGGTAAGAAGAGCAGATCCTGCATCATCTCATCCTTGAGGCAAATGTGCCACCCAACCAGGCCCCCGCCCACACAAACCCTGACCCCTCTGTTCTGAGCGCCCACCAGCCCTAGCAGAGAGTCAGACAGCTAGTCCCAAGTGGCCGTCTCCAAAGCCGGGGGGGGGAAATGAGCCATGGGACACACACACACCCCGCAAGCTCAGCAGGGGCGTATCTTCCTTTGCCTCCTGAATCAAACACATGGTCCTGGGTCAAGCTCCAGAGGGAAGTGAAAGAGCCCCCTGTGGGGAGTAGCAGTGAGGGGAGAGCCTGTAACAAGGACGCCCCCTCCCCCACATTACCCCAGCTCCCTGCCCTGGGCCACCTCGCCCCTAAAGTGCTGCGCCAATGATTAACAGATTGCAGAATAAAGGAAAAGACTCTTACAATCAATTAGCTGCTATCCTGCTCCTGCCCAAGAGGAAGTAGTGAGGTGAAATGGGAGGAGGAAGTGAGGCTGAGTGTTTGGAGTTTCCAGGTGTGTGTACATCACCTCCACGGGTCACTATATAAACTCAGGCAGCAAGAGACCTGGCCAGAGAACACCTGTCACTACCTACCACCCCTGAGGGCAGGAGCAGCCGGCCTAGGAGAGCCACAGCAGAGAGAAGGGAGAGAAGACGCTCCCCAGCCTGAGGACGCATCACCTGCTCCAAGCCACTTGGTCTTCCCACTCCTCCATGGATTCAGCCAGCGTGGTAAGGCGGCTGCCTCTGCCAGCT